AAAAAAAAAAAAAAGAAAAAGAAAGAAAAAAAGCAGGAGAAGCAACATGAACTATAAGGCTCAAGGGAATAATTAATTTCCCTACCACTTCATCTTCAGTCCAACACTTCTCAATCAGTTTTGGCACAGGTTTCTTCACCAACCGCTGCAGGGCTTTTCCAGCATCATAGTTACTTTCATGTAGCTAAAAAATAAAGAAGACAAATAGATCATTTAATGGAATTAGCAGTGATCTGATATTGGAGAAAAACCACTAAAGGGGGCCACATGCCTAATTATTTTTACTGTTGATATATGAAGTGAAATTTAAACAACCTGAAGGGTAACTGGGGCTTTATTAGTAGAAGAAATAGCATTAAAACAAGTATATTTTCCCCTTCCTTCCTAAACTTTTCCCAGATAATGTTTGAGCCCATAAAGCACTGAAGATTTTTTGGTCAACTTTAAAAAATATTTTTTTACATTAGAAACTCCAAGGAAAATTTTAAAAAGCTCCAGCAAAATATTTTTCAAAAGGAGTTGTATTTTATGTGGGATATTTTGTTCAGATTAGTAAAACCACTGGAAAAGCTAACATACGGGAGGGATTGCAAGCCATGGGATGTCACATTTACCCATCCAGAAAATTCTCTTTACTTTTATTGCACTGCAAAGATCACCGTGCTGTTGGAAAACAAGGATGAAAGAGAAACAAAACCTCTACAGTTAGCTACAGGAGTACATAAAAGCAAGCAGGGATGTCTAAGTTGACATTACTGTTTCAGCTGGTCACAGCCTACAATGTACCTCATTTTCTACCATAAATTTGGTATCTATATGATCAAAAGCTGTCTGAAGTAGACAGTAGACATTTAAATCAGGGTGAGGTAGAAAAACAACTACACTGAAAAAAAACATTCAACAATGAACCCATGAGAATTTCCGGCTCTTAACTCTTGATAGAAAACATTTAGCACACTGTAGATTTATAGCCTGTCCTATCTTCAAAGTACGCTGGGATTTTAAGAATTGAAGGACTAGTCAGGAGCCTGCTCTATGTCTTCTGAAAGTAATCTCAAAGAAAAAGAAATTTTGCTGGGGTGACATAAACTGAATTATCTTTCTACACCCAAAAGGAAGAACTATTTGCATGCAAACTTCCCTACGCAGACAAGAGGCAGTTTTTCTAACAACGTGCTACGCAAACCAAAGCTTCAAAGCCAACGATTAACATCACAGAATTTTACAGACCCTCAAAAGTTTCTTTACAGGAGGGACAACCAAAACATGATTCTGTACACTGATTATCTCCTGCTTTTCCTTCCCACCCAGAATCTATCCCGAGCCACCTGCATCCCACTCTCTAGAAGCATCTGCGCTGCTAGACCTGGGCTTAACCAGCCTCAGAAAACATTGCAACAAGTACCGTAATCCTTGAACTTTTCCCAAGACTGATTAACTGACCAGGCATCAAGATACAATTACTGAACAGCGACAAGATATTAACTACTTTGTCACTGTTAATATAAAGTTATAACAAAACCTGATTACAAGAGGAAAAAATTCCTCATTTTTCTTATGTCAAAAGGGTCAAATTTTAGAACAGCATTCTGCTTCAAATAAAAATAGTAAGATTACTTTCTTACTGCTGCTCACTTTAGCTATTTACATCTCTCAACCAATTTGTAAGTATTGATTATGTACATTTGACAATGGTCAGACCCCTTCTGCCTTAGGGCCACCTCCTAACAATACTGGTTTTTCCTTATATTGCTTCTTTTGTCTGGTCTTGTCGTAACTCGGACTGTAAGCTCTTCGGTGTACAAGAATGCCCTGCATTCATACTGCATCCAGGAGCATGATTCAGACACTTTTAAAAGCTGTAAGTAAATTACTCAAATTTAATTCAGTTAAGTAGGTCTAAGTGATTTCTACTATGAAATAAAGGCAGACATCTGAATCAAGATAGAAGAGAAAGGAAAAAACAAATCACTGGTCCTACAGGAAGTTTTTTTTAGTGAGACTATAATAAAAATCAGCTTCCACCGAAAGCCAGCTTTGTACAGTTCTCCCGGTAAATAAATCTCTCTATGAAAGGTTTGTGCGCTGACTTTTGAAAGCCACCACACAACTTACAGAAGGAAGAAAGTCAAATGACAACTTAGATTGCTGCAATGACATTTACAGCAAAATACAGACACGCGAGCATGTGTGTGTGTATTATAAACATGTATATAGAAAATATGCTTCTTTAAAGCTGCAACACTGCTGAATCTAGGTTTCAGATGGGACAAGCCCACTGTAAGAAAGCCAGCATGGCTCCAGAGCCATGGTACTTCTGGGAATGACAGGGCAGAACATACATCAAGTCCTCAAGAGCTGCAGCAGAACTTGCCGAAAGCTGGGAAATGGAAAGCAAAGCTCTGTGCTCCACAGGGCTCATGCAGCTGGGAAGAGCAGCACATCCGTAAGACCTGGCACAAAGCACTCTTCACTCTCACTACCTGGCTTTTGTCAACTCAGGTTTTAAATAGCTTGTGCATCTGTAAGCACGCTGCTTTTTTTATAAAACAGGGTTCACTTTTTCAATAAAAACGATACCGTAAATGGACAGGGAATTTCAGAGAACAGAAAGTGCCCATTTCACAGAAGGCACTGTGGTCTATCATACAGGGGCACTTTATGAAATGGTGGATTTTGGATACCACATATCATGCCATGCCACCTTCCCATCTATTTTATTAGCATGGCAGTTTTCTGGTCATGAATGCCACAGAAGGGGTTGTTACAGTCTATAAAGCCAACTCGTTTGCAAAGCACACTAGAAATTACTTTGTTTCCTTCAGTAAAGACAAAAGTCCTTGCACATGAACCCCAAGGTATTAAAAGCAACAGCTAATTTATTCCATTTGCTGATGAAATTTCAGTTCCATATGAGTCTGAGCCTCCTTTGTAACACCTGAAGAGCCGAGTTTCCAGAAAACAATTTGATCAACAATTGTTACTGAACACTTCAAGCAGGTGGTCCGAGGTCCAAAAATGCAGGTTCGCTACAAAAGCAGAAGTGCACAGCCCTCTAGAAATACTGCCTACCTCCTACGGATGGGGATGAGCATGTTATCAGCTGTGTTAAAGAATAAATTGGTACATTATGGATTACACGTCACACAAATTGGCTCAAGTCTTCTATTATCAATAGGAACAGAACTTGAACTGATGAAGGTGCACTTTCACCTCCACCAAGTTATCAGGGCATTCAAAGTTTATTTATAGTTGAGGGACTTTTAAAGTAAGTAAAGTACTTCTAAAAATAAAAGGTCACTACTGGGCAAAGGCCTCTGGTCACTACCTGCAGTGTGTTTTTAGAACCAACAATAACGTTCCCTTAACTGGCAGCCTCAACATTTTTTTTTTTCCTTACCAACAACTAAAATAACAACAGGATACAGGGTGTTACTGCAGTAAAACAAGCGCTTGACTAAATAATGAGAACAAGAAAGCAAGCTAAGCCAGGGTGGTTTTCTATTCATTCTCAGGTTTCTATATGGCACCTACAGGTAAGTTACAGATACTCTGTGCAATAATTATAACTATATGTACCTTTGCAGAGTAACCACAGACAACAATGCTTCAGTTTCCAGAAAATAATCTCCTCCCCACCTGCCTTCTTCAGCTATCTGATCTCTGCAAGCTGCCGCTCCAAGATGCATGAACCCATCGGAGCCATCAACGGCACCTCAGACTGCTGTAAGTCAGGGAGATGCATTACCCGAGATCACTTAGTAGAAACCATTGCTTTCAAACCTGTCTCCCCAGGTGAAATTTCCTAACGTACAACAGAAGGATGGCTTGTAAATCTGCCTCTGTTGACTACATCAGTGTCAGCTCCCGTGACTGCACCACCATGCAAGCGAAACACCGATCTCTGTCCATCTCACATAAGCCACAAATCAAACGATAAGAGCAGAAAGCTAAGCCAGTGCTCCATGCCAATGCTCAAACAACACTACTGACCTCAAAGTTTTTTAACTTGTTTTTTTAGAATCCTGTGGTATGCAATACCTACTTAAAGGCATGAAAATAAGATGTTGCCTTTTCTACTGGGTACACATTAATTTTTCCCCATTTGCACTCCAGCACTGGAAACAAATCCACCTTAAAGAAAAAAAGGACTGTTTGTTTTGCTAGCTCACGTTGCAAATGCTTTTTTCTGTGCGTGCCACTACCTAAAAGATTTTTCACTTAGGAAATTTGACAGCGTTGAAGAGAATAGTGCTTCTGTTTCTTTTTCCTCTTTGCTCCCTCCCAAAACATGCAGTAATGCCAAAGCCTCTTTGTAGCTTGGAGGGCATCTTTATTTTGCCTCAAGGACACCACATGTTTTTCCCTGGCAGCCCTATTGCCCAAGCAGTTCAATCTGCAAACAATCAGACGAGCCCAGAACGAACGGACTGGTCTGACAGGCGACTACTCTAGTTACTGAAAAATAGAAGAGTTTACAGGCCATCAGAACTGTCCCAAATCAACAACAGAAAATGAGCATTAACTTTTGACCAAGTAATTACGTTAATAACAATCACAAAACCCATAAGCACAGACATGAAAGAAGAAGAGTCTTATAACAGACAAGACACAGATTTGAAAGCAAGAGACCCGATACAGGTTTAGAGTCTCCTGAAAATGTTACTTTTAGCAAGTGGGGGGGAGGGAAGCTTTTGTAAGTGCCAGGAGTAGAATAATGCATCAAAAAGGAAAAATATTTTTTTTATAAGTGCCAGAGTTAAATTTACGTGTTTCAATCTGGCTCATTCTCTGCTTATTACTTTCGGTCATTTAATATATATAAGCACTTTATTGGCAAGCAACTCAAACATATAAATAATAGCTAATGATGACTGCCTATGGTTTCATTAACTTCTGGTTGAACTTTCCAAGGTATTGCTATAAACACTAGATTACTATCCTGTCATCAAGAGAATCACCATTTTTAGCATTAACTCTGCCACCTAAATTTTGAACCACCGTGACATTATGTACGTATACAACTGCAACAAAAGGAATCGACACAAATGTACTTATGCTTTAAAACAGAAAATACAGCAACGTCTGCATCACTGGACAGGATTTTAGATTAAAGACAAATTCTGAATGTGCACGTGTCCAAAAACCTCATTTATATTACAACAGTCATTAAACAATGCTAGA